CCATAGGGTCACAAAAGTAGGACACACGACTTAGCAACTGAACCACCACCACCTCACAAGAATGGTGTAGGAATAAATGTGATGTTTCACTTGAAGCACTTGGCACGAAGCCATGCACATCAAGGGTAATAAGTGACAGCTCTTAGTGTTACTATTTCACTAAGCGATTTCTGCCTGGCTCCATCCCAGTTCCCAGGGCAGTCCCACGCACAGACGCCCTCCTGAGGATAACCTACACCCTACATCCTTCTGCTCCTCGCCAGGGTAGAGCGTTCCACAGAGGAAAACACGGATCACAGTTCACCTACAGCCACGGCCTCACCCGAGCCCACCGCCACCTGATCAGTCAGTCAGGTCAGCCGCTCAGTCATGTCCGACTCTGCGACCCCATGGACCGCAGAATGCCAGGCCCCCCTGTCCATCACCACCTCCCAGAGTTTACTCAGACTCACGTCCAATGAGTCGATGATGCCATCCAACCACCTCATGCTCTGTCGTCCCCTTCTCCTCCTGCCTTCAATCTTTCCCAGCATCAGGGTCTTCTCCAGTGAGTCAGTTCTTCACATCAGGTGGCCAAAGTATTGGAGTTTCAGCTTCAGCATCAGTCCTTCCAATGAACACCCAGGACTGATCTCCTTTAGGATGGACTGGTTGGATCTCCTTGCAGTCCAAGGGACTCTCACGAGTCTTCTCCAGCACCACAGTTCAAAAGCATCAATTCTTCGGCGCTCAGCTTTCTTTATAGGTCTTTATAGCCACATTATTAGTCCTTGTCTAACAGGAAAGAGAGACCTGGTTCAAGAAGCACATGGTCAAGCTGTGAGGTTTCTTGCTTCAGTGACTATCTTATAAAAAATGTAAACAGCATGTAAGGAAAGTGAATAGGTACTGAATACTGAGTTGACACAGATACTAAGTTATATTTATTAAAATTGTCATTCAGTTCAGCTCAGTCACTCAGTCGTGTCTGACTCTTTGTGATCCCATGAACTACAGCACACCAGGCCTCCCTGGCCACTAACTCCCATAGTCCAACCAAACCCATGTCCATTGAGTTGGTGATCCCATCCAACCATCTCATCCTCTGTCATCACCTTCTCCTCCTGCCCCCCAATCCCTCCCAGAATCAGGGACTTTTCCAATGAGTCATCTCTTTGCATGAGGTGGCCAAAGTACTGGAGTTTCAGCTTCAGCATCAGTCCTTCCAATGAACACCCAGGACTGATCTCCTTTAGGGTTGACTGGTTGGATCTCCTTGCAGTCCAAGGGACTCTCAAGAGTCTTCTCCAACACCACAGTTCAAAAGCATCAATTCTTCGGCACTCAGCTTTCTTTATAGTTCAATTCTCACATCCATACATGACTACTGGAAAAACCATAGCCTTGACCAGATGGACCTTTGCCGGCAAAGTAATGTCTCTGCTTTTTAATATGCTATTTAGGTTGGTCATAACTTTCCTTCCAAGGAGCAAGCGTCTTTTAATTTCATGGCTGCAGTCACCATCTGCAGTGATTTTGGAGCCCAAAAAAATAAAGTCAGCTACTGTTTCCACTGTTTCCCCATCTATTTGCCATGAAGTGATGGGACCAGATGCCATGATCTTAGTTTTCTGAATGTTGAGCTTTAAGCCAACTTTTTCACTCTCCTCTTTCACCTTCATCAAGAGGCTCTCTAGTTCTTCACATTCTGCATAAGGGTGGTGTTGTCATCTGCATATCTGAGGTCATTGATATTTCTCCCAGCAATTCTGATTCCAGCTTGTGCTTCCTCCAGCCCAGCGTTTCTCATTATGTACTCTGCATATAAGTTAAATAAGCAGGGTGACAATATACAGCCTTGACATACTCTTTTTCCTATTTGGAACCAGTCTGCTGTTCCATGTCCAGTTCTAACTGTTGCTTTCTGACCTGCATACAGGTTTCTCAAGAGGCAGGTCAGATGGTCTGGTATGCCCATCTCTTTCAGAATTTTCCACAGTTTATTGTGATCCACACAGTCAAAGGCTTTGGCACAGTCAGTAAGGCAGAAATAGATGTTTTTCCTGGAACTCTCTTGTTTTTTCAATGATCCAGCGGATGTTGGCAATTTGATCTCTGGTTCCTCTGCCTTTTTTAAAACCAGCTTGAACATCTGGAAGTTCACGGTTCACATATTGCTGAAGCCTGGCTTGGAGAATTTTAAGCATTACTTTGCTAGCGTGTGAGATGAGTGCAATTGTGCAGTAGTTTGAGCATTCTTTGGCATTGATTTTCTTTGGGATTGGAATGAAAACTGACCTTTTCCAGTCCTGTGGCCGCTGCTGAGTTTTCCAAATTTGCTGGCATATTGAGTGCAGCACTTTCACAGCATCATCTTTCAGGATTTGAAATAGCTCAACTGGAATTCCATCACCTCCACTAGCTTTGTTCATAGTGATGCTTCCTAAGGCCCACGTGACTTCACACTCCAGGATGTCTGGCTCTAGGTGAGTGATCACACCATCGTGATTACCTGAGTCATGAAGACCTTTTTTGTACAGTTCTTCTGTGTATTCTTGCCACCTGTTCTTAATATCTTCAGCTTCTGTTAGGTCCCTACCATTTCTGTCCTTTATTGAGCCCATCTTTGCATGAAATATTCCCTTGGTGTCTCTAATTTTCTTGAAGAGATCCCTAGTCTTTCTCATTCTATTGTTTTCCTCTGTTTCTTTGCGTTGATCGCTGAGGAAGACTTTCTTATCTCTCCTTGCTATCCTTTCTCTTCTGCATTCAGATGGGTATATCTTTCCTTTTCCTTCTTGCTTTTCACTTCCCTTAATTTTCACAGCTATTTGTAAGGCTTCCTCAGACAGCCATTTTGCTTTTTTGCATTTCTTTTTCTTGGGAAAGATCTTGATCCCTGTCTCCTGTACAGTGTCATGAACCTCCATCCATAGTTCATCAGGCACTCTGTCTATCAGATCTAGTCCCTTAAATCTATTTCTCACTTCCACTGTATAGTCATAAGGGATTTGAGTTAGGTCATACCTGAATGGTCTAGTGGTTTTCTCCACTTTCTTCAATTTCAGTCTGAATTTGGCAATAAGGAGTTCATGATCTGAGCCACAGTCAGGTCCCGACTAATTGTCATTTATTTATTTATTTACAACCAATTGTCATTAGATGTAAATAAATGTCTGATCTCTATCAAATTATATTTAAATAAATTGAGTATGAATAGGCAGGGATCACATGGGAGAGGACAGTCTGGGTCTCGTATTTTTTATAAAACAAGAGGACTGATTGCAAATAATTTTGAGCAACCCTTCCATGCCCAGCTCTGGCAAGGGACTGAGGGGCACTGCCTAATAGTGAGAGCACGCCCTGCCCTCCGGCAGCTTACTGTCTGCTGAAGACTCAGAACTCACAGCCTCGAACGCCCATGTCGGGGGCTGGAGAATTCAGGCAATCAGCACAGGCGGGACTGGGGAGGCAGAGGGGCCATGACCGGCCGGGTCTGTGTCGACTGAGGGGTGAGGTCAGGAGCACACAGGGGAGACTGGTCCTGACGGAGCGAAGGGGCCGTTTGGAAGAGATTGTCTGGAACCATCCCTTGAAGGAAACTTCCCTCGCAAGGGGGTCCCTTGGGGGCCATGGAGCTGGGGAGGGGTATGTGGTTTTGTCCCGAAGCCTCACGCGATTTTTCGAGAGCAGGTGCTTAGGGGGCTGTTGACTCCCCAGTGCCCCTCAGTGCAGAGGGCGGGGTAGCTGGGCCCAGCCTGGGAGCTGGAGGAGGGGGTGGTGAGCAGGTGCAGGGGCCTCGTGGGGGTCTGAGTGCCTCCTGTCACACGGAAAGCCTGGCCCGGCTTCCGGCCCCCGCTGCCCCATCACTGCCCATGGGGGTGGTGGGACCCTGAGGCCTCCGGTGGGGCGGGCACGAGAGCAGATCATGTGACGGGGCAGAGGGTGCCAGCGGGGCATGCTGGCAGGGAGAGGGCGGGTCAGTGACGACGGAGTGGGATCTGATGACCGTGGGCGAGAGGGCTGGGGCGGGGGCGCAGCCCAGGCCAGTCGTTTCTAAAGCAACAGCGCCCCGGAGTCTGGGGAAGGCTGTGTGTAACTTAGTCCCACAACCAGCCCAGCTTCCTGCCTCATCCCCCCTGTCAGTTATTCAACAAGCTCTTATCTGTGCAGACTGGGATGGTGTGCTCTGCGCTCACGGAGGCAGGGGGGACAAACCCAGGAGGCCTGAGCCAGCACACGCCCCCTTCGCCCCCTGCCCCCAGCTCCCCACTCCTCCCCCAGGCTGGGGGCCTCCGGGTGTGAGGCCCGGCAGGTGGGAGTGACCAGACCTGCCCCTCACTCTCAAGGGAGAGGACATCCGGGCACTTTTATAAGGCAGGCCCTGGAGGAGGTGTCTTCAGGTGCATTTCTTTTCTTACTTGGTCCTCATACAGTATTATTCTGGGAAGGATGTTTTAATTCTCTCCCTACTGGAAACCGTGGCTCGGAGAGGTCACCCCAGCAAGAAGGGGTGAACGGGGGTCCAAACCCTGCTCTGCATGTGTCTTCAGCAGCCCATCGCCTCTGCTCGTGATGCTTACAATCGCCTTGGAGGGTCGAGGGGGTGGGGGGGCCCACAAAGCAGTCCACAAAGCCCTTTTCTAACTGACATGTCCACTCTCCTCTTTAGGGACGGTTCCCCGGGAGCCTCTGCGGCGCGGCGCACTCCAGGCAGCAGGCCAGGGTCCCAGAGGGCGGCGAGGACCAAGAGCGCAGCGCGGGGCCGCGGGAGCCACTGGGCTGCGCCCCTGGGAAGGCCCGCACCCTGAGCCGGATCCCGCCTCTGCGCGGCAGCCCAGTCCGCCGCGATGGTGCGCCTTAGGGGGACCTCGGAGCCTCCCCACAGAGCGGAAAAAAGCGCTGACCAGTCCGTGCGCCCCGAGCCGCGGCCGGCGATGTGACTCGCCCTGCTCGCAGGGCGCGCAGACCCCGAGCCGGGGCGACTCGGGGCTCGCTTGGGTCCGGCTCCGAGTGGCACCATGAACGACGACTTCTGCCGGGCGCTGGCTGCCCGCCGGCCCGCGGCGGCCCCCGGGTGCCTGCCGCTGGGCATCGGGCCCCCTCCGCGGCCCGCGCCCCCGGCCGGCGCCGAGCCCCTGGGCGCGGTGCCCTTCCTGCTCTACCCGGGCGCCGCGGGGCCGCCCTACTGCGACGCCTACGCGGCCGCCTTCCCAGGCGCGCCCTTCCCCGGCGCCCTGGGCGCCTGCGACTACCCCTTCGAGCCCGCCTTCATCCAGAAGCGCAACGAGCGCGAGCGCCAGCGCGTCCGCTGCGTCAACGAGGGCTACGCGCGCCTCCGCGGCCACCTGCCCGGCGCCCTGGCGGAGAAGCGGCTCAGCAAGGTGGAGACCCTGCGCGCCGCCATCCGCTACATCAAGCACCTGCAGGAGCTGCTGAGCGCCGCCCCCGACGGCGCCGCGCCCCGCGAGTCCCGGGCGGCGCCCTCCCTGGCGCCCGACTCGGCCGAGCCCTCCTGCGGCTCCTCCTCGCCCTTCTTCGAGTCGGAAGAGTGCAGCCACTGAGCAGGCTGGGGCCGCCCGGGCTCGGGGGGCGCCGGGTCCCGGGGTCCCCGCCGTCCGGCGCTCCGGGGTCCGCCGCATCCTCCCTGCGCCAGCGCCACCCCGGCCCCAGCCCTGACAGCCGGCGGACAAGGGGCACGAGAGACGCCACCCCGGGGTCGGGCTCCCGCTCGGCCTCGGCCCCGCGCGGGAACATGTCTAAAAGCCCAGGTTCCAGTGTGTACCCAGCCACGGCGGCCCTGATCCGTCCCCCCGGGCAACAGGCGCAGCCCAGAAGGCGAGCCTGCTTTGATGGGCAGGCCTCGCCTGGACTCTCCAGGAGATGGCCTCAGACACCAGCGTCTCTTTGGGAGCTTGCCAGCCCGCCTCCCAGGGACACCTAGAGGGTGAGCTGCAGGCCAGGCAACGTGCACTCAGCCCGGGGGGAGCGGGGGTGGGGGTAGAGGCTGTGGTCCATGCTGCTCTCTGACTTCCTTAATGGAGGACCCAAGACTCCAGCCCCAGCCCCCAGTGTGGCCTTTTCCTTTTTTCCCAGGTGGGGAGAGGACTGCTTTTTCCCCTCATACTGTACTCTGTGGGCATGCAGACCACGTGGGTGTGTAGCACCGTGTTTGCACCAAGGGGCTAAATAAAGATGCTGAGTTCTGTGGTTCCGGGTCATTATCCACCCTCTTTTCCCTGGCGACCCAGTCTCCTTCCACTCAGAGCACTTGCCTCTGGCGCATGTGGGGTGTTCTGTTCACTCGTGCATTCAGCTGATGTTTACGGAGAACTCAGTACCTTCCAGTAAACGGAGGGGACAGAGTCCCAGGGCAGACACCTGCCCCTTGCACAGTCAGGGCGGGTGGGGTGGGGTGGGGTGGGGAACAGAGGTGTGCACGCCCAGGAGCCCCCACCGCAGGGCGTGGGGTGCGAGTGCAGGGTCTTGGCTGGACGGCTGTGGGGTCAAGATGGCAGGAGGGCTGTGGACCCCTACTGAGCCGGGCCACCCAGCACCTTTTCCGGACGGTGCTGTGGGGCAGGGAGGAGGGCTGATCCTGACACCCCGGAGCTGGTGTCGGTGTCCCCTCCATGGGTTCAGTGAGGCTGGGGGCTCCCAATCACCTCCTGAACCCTCTGTCCGCTGCTCCAGCCTGGGCCCGCGTGTGACCCTCCCCCTGCCTCCTTGGGGACATACAAGGATGCCGCCGGCCGGGCCGGGGAGGGGTGACAGCTGCCTGGCTGCGGAGCCCGGGGCTGGCCAGCGGGGAGCCAGGGGAGGCTAATTTTACCCCTGGAGCAGTGAGAGTGATCCCGCCCCACCCGGCTGGCTCAGCAGGCCAGGCGCCCCAGCTCGGCTGCCCAGTCCTGGAGGCGGGGGCGCTGGGACGCGGGGAGGAGAGGGCAGCGGTGGGGGAGCAGGACAGGCCGCGGGAGCCATGGAGCCGTCCCCAGCCCAGGATGAGGGCCTGCGGAGGAAGCAGGCCAAGAAGCCCGCCCCGGAGGTCCTGCCCAGGCCGCCCCGGGCCCTGTTCTGCTTGACTCTCCAGAACCCCGTGCGGAAAGCCTGCATCAGCATCGTGGAGTGGAAGTATCCTACAGGGGCCGTGCGGAGTGGAGGGGGGCTCACAGATCTCAGGCTCTGGGGGCCGGCACCAGGGCCTGGGATACAGCCGGAGGCCTTTGGGAAGGCAGCCCTGACGGAGGCCCAGGGGGCTGGGGGTGAGGCGCAGGGCCCCGAGGCTGCCTCTGGAAGGTGCTGGAAGGTGTGGAGGCCCTGACATGGGATGGGGTGGCGGGGCCGGTGGGCCGGCTGGGAGGCCAGGGGGTGAGCACCGAGCTCTATGCGGCCGCACACCCTGGGCACAGGGACGTGAACCCCCCTCACGCTGGCATCAGCTCCAGGAGGAAGAATGATGAAAACGCCTGGCTTGCTGGGGACGGGGGACAGGGGACGGGGGACAGGAGGCGGGGGGTGGGGAATGGAGATAAGGACAGAGGGAAGGCCATTGTCATGGGGGTGCTGAGCGCGCTAGCTGGGAATATTTGGAATATTTCTGAGGGGTTTTGGAAGACCGGGCTCCCACCAGCTGTTGCCTAGAAGACAGTGAGGGAGTTGGAGGGGCAGGGAAACCCGGGAGCTGAGACGCCTGGGTGGGACCGAGCCTGCCCCCACACCGCTGTGCCCACCCCGGGCCCCCTTCCCGCTCCGTCTGGGGAGCCGGGGGCCTCTCTCGCCTGCCTCCCGGCGCCTCTCCAGGCCTCTGCCCTGAGGCCACCTCTCTCCAAACCCGAGGAAGGAGGCTGGGAAGGGCACGGGGCCTTCTCGCGAGCAGTGGACACAGGGCACTCCCCCACCGCCCACTCACGCACAGCTCCCTCCTCCGTCTCCACCCCTCAGGCCTCTCCCACCTCCCACGGTGGCCTCCCCCAGGGCCCCTGCTGCTCCCCGGCAAGTCCAGGGAGCCTGGGGGTAGTCTCCCCTGCTCAGGCCGCAGAGGCGAGGTTTCAGGGCGCACACCCGCTCCCCGTCCCGCCCCGGGGGCCTCACCTGGCTCACACCAGCCCAGCCTCCCTGGCTGCTCCTCTGAGGCCCCGAGGACTGTCTGACTGTAGCATCTTGGAGGGGACAGAGGGGCTAGGGGCTGGGGGCTGGGCGAGGGGTGGGGGTGTAGGGACTGAGATGGGACTCAAGACTGACTGAGCGTTGGAGCCGAGTAGCCCCCAGACAGGAGCCAGCGCCTCCGGGTCCCTGAACGTGTCAGTCAGCCCCTGTTGGAGGCGGGTCCCCGCCCCCACCCCAGGAGCATAAGAGCCCGGCCTTGTGGTCCGCACAGACCCCCAGCGCACTCTCCGCTCCACCCGCAAGTCCCACGCCTCACTCGCTCCTTAACTCCGCCCCAGACCCTTCGAGACCATCATCTTACTCACCATCTTCGCCAACTGCGTGGCGCTGGCCGTGTACCTGCCCATGCCGGAGGACGACAACAACAGGCTGAACCTCGGCCTGGTAAGAGGGTGGTCCTTCCCCTGCTGGCCATCCCCCTGCCCGCGCCCAGTGGGGGATGCTGGAGCTTCACCCCACCCCCCGGGAGGATAGAGACCCCTGTCCCCGAGACCTGCGGGGCGGGCTGAGCGGCTCTGAGCTCCGCAGGGAGGCCTGGCTCGGCTGGACTCCGTCGGGTCAGCAGCCAGCACTGAGCGAGCACCGCCGAGCCAGCTCCGTGCTCAGCGCTGAGGCAGTCCAAGTGCAGGCTGGAAACGAGTGTCCGGACTCGGAGCATTTCAGAAGGGAATGCGTTTGCTAAGAACAAAGATCAGAGAAAATGGGGGCGCTGTGGGCTCAGGGGGCTGACCTCCTAACAGACCTGAGACAGGCAACACTTTCCTGATTTAGAAGCCAATTTTTACAGCCTCAAGACAAAGCAAATTCCTGCTGGAAGGTTGCTGTTAGGTGACTGGTTAGGGAGGGCTTCCCAGCTGGCACTAGGGGTAAAAAATCCCCCTGCCGAAGCAGGAGGTGTGAGCGACATGGGTTCACCCCTGGGTCGGGAAGACCCCCTGGAGGAGGGCCTGGCAACCCGCTCCAGTATCTTGCCTGGAGAATCCCATGGACAGAGAGCCCTGGTGGGCTACAGTCCGTGGGGCCACAAAGAGTCGGACACGGCTGAACTGACTTAGCTCACACGCACGCACGATTGGTTAGGGCGCTATAGGGTGAGCAAGGGGGTCAGCATTTTGGCCTAATTTGGAGTCAGGAAGCTTGTTTGTGATGATCAGGGGGCTTTGGCAAAGGTTACAGAGGGCCTCGGTCAGCCTCGGAGGTGACCTCAGTTCTGGCTCCACTTGTGTGGCCGTGGGGCCTCACACCTGCGGCCTTGGGACTCACCGCTGTGAGTGAGCCGTGTACCCTGCACCACAGTCCCTAAACCAGTCCCATTTGACAGATGCAGAAACTGAGGCTTCGTAAGGCCAGTAATGGGGCTGGATGCTGACCTCCCTTCCCTGGATGTAACTCGGAAGAAACTTCCTTCTGTGGAGCTTGCTTTTCTGGGAGAGTTTGTGTTAGCGCCATGTTCCCTTCAGCCCAGCACCCACAACACGTCCACAGGCCAGGAAATGCTGCAGCTGGAGGGGGTTTTCCAGGGTCAGGTTGTCCTGGCTCCTCCCTATCTCAGCCTGTTTGTGATGAGAAAACTGAGGCTTGGAGAGGATAAAAGATGGACTTACCTGAAAACCAGGTCATAGTCAAATGCCTGACATTGCCCAAGTGCTTATTAGATGCCCAGTTCTGCACTAAATATTTTGCATTATTGTCTCTTTTACTCCCCCGTGAAGTCATTAGACCCATTCCAGGACAAGAAAGCTGAGACTCAGGGGGTCTGGGTACTCTGTCCGGGGCTCCCGCACATGTCCATCTTCCCAGAGAGTCTCAGACTCAGGCTCTGACTTTCAGTCTTGACTGGATCGCTGTGCCACCAATGTGGCGACCGCCCGGATGCCCCGGGAAAGCCCCTGGAGACCATGGCCCCGGGCATCTACCGCCCAGGCTCCCGGGGGACAGGGCAGTGGGCGCCCCTCATTTCAGCAGGCTTTTCGGGCACTACCTCTGCGCTGTGGGCAGCAGGAAGCCAGGCATGTGCGTCCAGGGCCTGGAAGGACAGCGTCGTCTCTGCCTCTGTGTGGCGACTGTCTCCATGGGACCCAGCTATCTTCAGCTGGGGAGAAGCTGGGAGTCTTGAGCGTGTGCTTGGCGATAACTGGAAAAATGCAGAGAGTGGGGTCCGATGTGGGCAAGGCAGGTGTAGGGAGGCGCTCCTTGGAGCCCTAGGCCCCTGTGGCGGGTCCCTTGTCTACGCCCTGCACCCACCCCGCCCTTCAGCGGTCTGTGTCTGGGGCCGTCGGCTCCATTCCAAGTCCCTAAGAGGGCGATGGCTTTGGAAAGGCGCTCTATCCTCCAGAGAGCGTCAGAGGTCTTAGCGGGCACGTCGCCTTTCATCTTGAAACAAAGCAGCCCCTCAGAA